CAGTTGCCTGAAATCAGTTGTAATGTCTTCAAATGGCCAAGTAAAGGCAAGCATAAGAAATATAAAGATTTGCCACCACATACGACAGAAATGCAGTTTACAACTTATAGCTTTAACTTTATATCAGCTACAGTGTGAGCCTTGTTTCTTTATTTAGGTGTTCTATTAAACCCTAACTGCGGCTCTGCACCATGATAGAGTAAACATTCCTCAGGGCATTTTCTACATTGAGCCATTTCATAGATAAATGAACAAAATCCTGTTGGCACCTGCATTAACGAATGTTTCCATTTTTTCCATCCCTGTAAGCCAACAGATAAAAAGAACAGAGCAGATGTTTGCTGTCAGAGGATGCTTCGGTGGCAGTGTCTGTTTTTTGCAATTTGTCATTTTTGGGGTTGCAAGATGTTACCACAGTTATATTAATAAAGCACAAATCCACACAGAGAAATGCCCTCGGACAGGCTGACAGGTGTTCCACAAGGGGGCAGTAAAACATCACTGATTCATTGGGGTAGCGTTTGCTGTTCTTAGTTTAGGTTCCTCTCCAATCAGTGATTGTTGGATTGATTAAGCAAAGTGTGTTGTGACCTCATGTTTCCCACCATCAATAATCAATGAAACAACTGCAGGAAAAATGACGATCAGCTGCGACTTTATTCAAAAGTTTGTAAACAGCAATACTAAAAACACTTGACTGTGATTTTTAGGTCATAGATTCCTCATTATGCGACCAATGTACAGAAGCCACTTGACATTTGACATTTTGATCTTCAATACTCAATAATACAAGAGGCAGCAAAGCATATTGATAAACAGCTGTCTGGATACTTTACACCAAGATAAATGTCTACAGAACAATTGTGCCGTGAGATTTCTAGTTTAAAAGTTTTACATCACCTAGTAGAAAAATCACATCTTTTCAGCTTCTTTTGTAAGGTCATTTCTCATTGCCCCACCAAATGCATACACACAAACTTCTACTCAAGTTACCAGCTAAAGAAAAGACCTTTGTTTCTTTGTTTTGATAAGTAAAATTAACAGCAGACATATTTTTATTTAGAGTTACGCCAAAACTACTTCACAAGCCCTGTGCATGGGTTGCTTTATTTTATTGAAATGATGCCCCGCTGCAACAGTAGCACTAAAACAACTCACTGCAATGATCAAAAGGCTTGGGGTCGGAAATATATCACCAAGTCACGACGTTTCACACACATACACGGCTGAATCCAGTAAAATCATACATTTAATGAGAGCAGCTATAGTCAGAACTCCCCTTCAGTTTCATACAGTAGTGACCAGCACACTGTATCTGAAATCAGTTCTGATCTGTTTAAGCTTTGACCAAAAGCTTGGTGCTGTTGCTGTCGTAGCTGTATAGCCGAATGAGTGAACTTCAACACTTTATTTAGCAAGAAAACACTGTACAGTTGTTAGGTACACATTAGAACAAAGACACGATACTCTGAAGGTGTAACAGCTAGCAAGGAAAGAAATGGACATCAGGGACAATTACTCTGCCACAGAAAATGCCATTTCAGATTTCACCAACTCAAGCTGTGAGTCTATCTACCTCTATCTAGAGTTTATTTTGTCATGGTGATAATATTTTTCCTTGAACATGAACCATCTCTTTTTTCTCAATAATCTCTTCACACATTTGCCACTCACTGAGTGTTGTCAGAAAAAGTACAAAAGTGACATGTTTAATGACAATTTTGGAAAAACAAACAAACAAAAAACAATCACAGTCAATTTAATTATTTTCACTGTTTTGCTTAAAGAACTGTCTAAATGCAAAATGTTCATGAAGCCTTTAGAAAGTCAAGGCATGAGGATTTGTTATATTATGATGCAAGAGCAAGACACATGTTAAAGTTGAAATGACAGTAAAACATCTCTAATTAAAAATGTCAGTAGCCCCTTATCCCATAAATGAAGATATATTGTTTTCAAAACCTGAATTTACAGTACAAAAATATAATATGCCTTTGCTAATTGGTTACCATGAAGTCAATGGTAAACAGCAGATTTATGATAGTCTTCGATAATCCTTTCCAATCGTGAGTTCTTTCTTTGACCTTGTGATACCATTTGGCACTTTGGCACACTATGTACTCTTACACAAACAGAAACGTATGCAACAACTAGAGCATCTATGTGAGGATGTAACACTTTCAGGAGAGATTTTCTCTGGAATACCTAACTTTTGCTTTATTTTGTGAAATGGCATTGTTTTTGAGAGAATGACATTTACACAGTTTTCCCCATGACAGCCAATTAAACAGCTTCTGCTGAAGTTTCCGTTGACACAGACATTGTTACTTTGGCTATTTTCACAGTGGTCTTCACGCAGCTCTCTGCAGCCCTGTTGGCAGAAATGTTGGCATTTCTGTTTTGGCAGTCTGACTCGAGGCTATTGTCCAACTGCTGGGCACTGCCCCTGCAGGCATGGCAGGAGCTGAGGAAGGCGTGCCGCAGGTCCTTGCTCCTCAAGGCGTAGATGATTGGGTTGACAGTGGAGTTGAGTAGGCAGAGCATGCTGCAGAATGCAAATACTGTCTTGATGTCATCGTCCATTCGCCAGAAGAGGTCATAGACCATGATAGCGAGCACTGGACCCCAGCAGATGACCAGCACCACCAGGATCAGCACCAGGGTCTTGGCCAGACGGATGTCCATGCGTGCCTGCTCAGGGCGTGTGGTCTGCACTTTAGTCCCGTCTGCTGAATAGACAACAAGGCTCTTCTGGGAGGCGCGACTTAACATGCGCACAGCGTGGTGGTGTGCTTTCCACAGAATATATATGTAGGCGTAGATAATGAAAAGAACCAGCACACTGGTTACACCTATCCAGAACATCAGGTACTTCTCATCAATGAGAGGGAATATGTCTGAACAAACAGATTTGAGACGTTTACAGTTCCAGCCAAGCAGAGGTAGCACTGCGATGACGATGGAGATTGTCCACATCATACAAAAGGCTATTACAGCCTTGGTCCGTGTCACAATGCGCCTGTAGGCGAGAGGCCGGTGGATAGAGATGTAGCGGTCAATGGCAGTGAGGAAAAGGCTTCCCACTGAGGCCGTGAACGATGCTGTGACTCCACCCAGCTTGAAGAGAAAAACATTGGGGCTGTCCTTCCTGTGGAAAACATGAAAGTCCAAAAAGCTATAGACAAAGATGACACTGCCCAGCAGGTCAGCCACAGCAAGACTGCCGATGAAGTGGTAGGATGGCCGGCAGCGGAGGGTGCGAGACTGCAGGATGACGCAGAGCACCACCAGGTTCTCCAGCACTGTGAAGGTACCCAGAGTCAGAGACATCACAGCCACAGCCAGCTGCTGGCTGGGAGTCAGGATCATGAAACACTCCATGTCCATAAAGTTCTCCCCACATTGTATGTTGTTAGTCTCATCTCTGAATGTGCTCCTGTTGCCAAACAAGTCTGTGGCGTTGGTGGGGTAGAATGGGATGCCCTTGAGGATGAGCTCCTCATCTGCAGGTACTTTGTTGGGGAAAGAGTTGCTCCGGAAAGCAGATAAGGGCTTCTGCAGAGAGAAGCTGCCCTTGAAGTTTACATCATTGATGGGGTCCTCATAGTTAGCGTCGTTGGAACCCAAATACTGTAAACCAGATGTAATAGTCCGGAAGGTGGTGTCCGCCACACCGTCCAGCACTGATTTCATGGCTGTGTCTGAGGGTAATACTGCAGTCTAAGATGCCAGGACAACCTACGAATTAATGACAAACATTTCAGATTTATTTTTCAAACTATTGAGAACCTTTCCAGCATGTTTGCAGCAGTGCAATATTTGAGCCTATGGAATAACCTTCATATAATTAGAATATTTCACTCCAGATATTTGAAATAAACAATTCCTAGACAGTTGTCCAGTTCTGGACGAATTAAATACTGTATTATGTACACTATATATATTTCACACAACATAAAACAATTCCTCAAAAGCAGAAAATCATCACATTAAAACAAGAAACACTAATAAAGCGGCATTTTTTTAATTTTTTTTTTGTCTTTGAGGTTCAGAATCAAAAAGGCAAATCAGACAAACAAAAATCTATAGCCTACACTATATGCCTGCTCAAATTTAGACAGGCCATTTTGCTGTAACACAAGATAAGTAATAAGGAAATAATTGTTTTTACATAAATTCGATATATGCCAAATTTGGTTTCGTTTTTTCAATAGGTTGTCTAGAAAGTCTGATAACCAGATGCGCAAATTCTGGTGCACAAATGCACAATAAAAAAAGAAAAAAAATTGATGCCTTGCGCTCATTTTGAGGCAAAGAATACAAAGCAAGTAAAATAATAAGAAAAGCTTAAATTAAACGTTTAAAGGAGGAAAAGTGCTTTCTTTTACCTTACATAATTTTCCCAAGTGCGCAGAATCGCCCTTTATCACCGCGCGTTAATCCAAGTCAGAAGCGCATCATCCAACCAACTCAGATCTTACATAAAAGGAGAAACAACCAGCGTGCATATATTAGAACCAAATCGTCAGTTTTCTCATATTAATTAGTTGTTTTTCAAATTGTACATGTAGCAGAAGTTGCTCAGGTGTCTGCAGAGGCGTCTTGTTGCTCTTGGAGTGCGCTCCTGCTTTGTGGATGCGGCTTGCTGCTGCTGCTACCGCCTCCAGCGTCTCTCTGCTCTTTTTCTCTGTGTCTTCACACTTATAAAACGTCACTTCTACAAGCCCTGTCACGTGTTTCCATATAGCTTTATCTGCCCAACCCATGAAGCTGTCAAGTGCGGTGCATAAGAACAAGGGAGAGAACAGAGGAGGCTTATAAAAAAGGTTTCATTTAAATTCCCAAAGCCTCTCTTTGCAGATGATGTGCTCGGACAAAGAAGCAGCATCAACAGTACTGAAATAGACTGGAACATTTCAGAGAAAAAGTTTGTTCTTGCTCTTTCACAATGTAATGTAAGAAAGAAAAAAAAAGCTGGAGAGCAGGCTTTACTTTCTTTTTATAAAGACAGAGATTGCAGACTTTATTGATAGTCAGCACATGTCTGTTTATTTCGTGAATAATTGACTAAAATCTCAGGAACAGAAAGCAGACTTCATTATTTTGGTGTTCTCTGAGCTGTAAATCCATCAAGCTTTCCTCGTTCCTGATATTTTCTGGTCTCAAACAGCCTTTTCAGAACCTTAAAAGTGAGCCTGTATTTAAATTAAAATGCAGAAAAAAGAAGGTACATTTTAGAAGAGGAACCATTGATACACCTCACAGTGAAACTCAGACGGACTGACAAGTGATGATTCATGCACATTGTGTTATGTTTGGGTTGTTTTTGTATTTTGTGTACCCTTCACATTCACCCCCAGTTTCTTTTCTCTGGTCAACCTTATCAGCACATTCAATCAGACTACACACCAACAAAATAGGAGTGAGATCCTGTTATGAATCTCAGCAGCAAAGATGTAGCCTCTGGGTAGCCAATTCAATCCACTGATCATGGATGATTTAATTTCCATGTATTCAAACATTTTAGTGATGTTTACTTTTCTTCACACTGTCCTACTTAATGTCAGCAGTGCAGCCCAGGAGGCCGGCGCCGAGTAGCTCAGGAGTCTGAATCTGAATATATGCATTAACATGACAATTTGTGGTCCCAAACTGCTGCAGGAGACAGAACGTGAAAACCTGGAGCTTTTTCAGGAGTGCAGTGAGACGATGGCTCTTTGTCCATCACAGGTGTAATTATTAATGGTCACTTTGCCGTGGCTGTCGTTGCTGTCTGAAATGAACAAAATCTATTACACAAAATTTAAATACATTTATGGTCAACAATTTACAGTGTATCTAAAAAATCCTAGATCTTTTCACATGTGGATTTATTTTTTTTCTTTCTTTCTTTTGGCGAAATGAACTGCTGGCAGGTTGACAGTGAAAGCAGCTGAGCTAATTGTAAATCTTCTCCAAGCTAAGTCTCGTTAATCTACAGGCAAACTGAGAAAAAAACACATTATTTGCAATCATGATCTGCGAGACTTTAGACAGAAAAACTGAGATCTACAAACTGATTCACACCTAGGAGTGATCAAAATAAAAGCCCCTCGACTGTCGGCAACTGGCTAGCTCTCTGAGAGTAGCCTGCAGATAAATGCCTTGTTCTGCGAAACATCAAAGCAGTGAGAGGAGAGAAGCACCGGTTCATTTCTTCTGCTCGGGGTTTTCTCAGATTGCACACAAGCTTGAGGTAATGATCTTCTACTCTCTAGGTTGCCTCTTAGACCTTGGAAGGAGAACATTACCCTCAAATGTGCTCTCACTGGTAAAAAGTCCTGGGCTGCGATGTTGCACTACATCCAGATTTGTTACGATCTTGTGCTGCAGTTTTCACTGTTTGTAGCTTTATGTCGACTTCTCTGTACCACTCCGTTTCTGGGAATATCTGCAGAAAGGCTAAATAGGTATTAGTGCTGCTCCATGTGTTGCAGTGGTGCTTTTTTAAAATGAAAATTAATTGAAACTCTTACCTCTGCAACCTCTGTGAAGGATTTTTCTGTGTTTAGGTATTCATGTCTCTTTGTGTAGAATTCAGTCATCCAGATTATTGTAATCCTAAATGCTTCAGTTGAGAGCTCCTGCTCTTCTCTTCTAGTTCTTGCAGAGTTCTAGCTGACTAGTGGGGACTCCCAGGTATTTATTATCACTCCCAAATTACATAGGTCATGGCTGGTTAATGCGTTGCCACCATTGGTGTGTGTGTGAATGGAAATGGGTGAACGAGACACTCACTGTAAACTGCTTTGGAAAACCTAGCTAAGGGTAAAAAAGTTGCTCTAAGTGTGGACATTTACTATTTACTGACCAACCAATAGACTGACCAATATTGTCATCAACAACAGGACTCAGAATTGGAGGTTAAATCAGTCCCACCCTGTAATTGTTGATAGGAGATTTCATTCAAGCTTGAGACAGAATGTTGGAGTGTGCAGTCTATTCGTACATCTACATAGAATTTCTACAGAATGCACTGTTAAATATTCACATCCATCCGACTGACAACCGGCAACAGCTAAATATGTCTCTGCAGCCTAGATACAAACCTCCCTGTCAGTAATTGAGTGCCTTTTATGTGCCCTCAGACATGCAACACCTATAAATATAACATGCATCTTCCATGAACATTCTGCAAGTGTGTTGAAGGAAGCATCAGTCTTATACTAAATATAAAACCACCACAAAATGTTGAATATTCATCTGCTTATTATTCTCATCTCAGTAACTGAGACTTGGAATTAATGTAATAATATCCACCACATAGAGCAGTTAGACTTGGGCAGCAGGCGGCTTGCCAGACTGACTGGTTTGACAGTTTTCTCTGACTTGGTTGGCATGCTAACCTGTGAGTGAGCAATGAGCGACGGTTGAAGCAAAGCTCACGGCCATCTGTGTTTCAGTTGTGGTACATAACATTTTGTCCTCCAGTGACTCACTTTAAGTCCGTGGAACAGAGAAAAGTGCCCAGGGGGAAATAAACTGCAGCCACAGGAAGGAAACCTCATGTGATCTCCATATCAGATGTAATTTGACGACCTGATTGCTATTCAGGGTTAGATTTCCAGCTCCCTTCTTTTGATACGTTTAAGGATAATTAAGGATATTCCGGTGCATAAATAAAAAAAATAACTTTCACCATCAACCTAAATCAACTTCTGCACTATTTTGTAAAATGAAAGGTTACATAAAAATCCATTGAAGCTGTATACACAAAGTAGCCAGATGTAAGTGTAGTATAGTGTGTGTGTGTGTGTGTGTGTGTGTGTGTGTGTGTGTGTGTGTCTGGCTGTGTTAGGGTTGAAGAAATAATGATGTCTGATTACAGCAGCAATGCATAGCAAAGATGGCTGTGCCTGGTCAGAGCGGGGATTTCCCTCGAGTACAAGCTCCAGCTACAAAACCTCACTTAAAGTCATCTAAAGTGTGGGACTGTTTTAGACAGAGACCAACAATGCGGTGCTCTGTAAGAAGTGCAAACTGGAATTCGCTGATCACTCCAGTACAAGTGCTGGACGAGGCCTTGAAGAGACAACCTTCCACGGTGCTTTGCTCATACTGCAGTCACAGGCAGCACCATCCTGTTGACGTTTTGTCCAAGCATGATACAGGCTGCTAGGATTATTAGCATGTATTCTGTAGTATTACTTAAAAATGAATTTCTGGATGTGTCTTCATTGCTACCATGTACAAAGTCATTTCTGCACTGCTGCTGTAATGTTAACAAAATGTTACATCATGTGTAGTCTTGCATAGCCAGCACCATCTCCACAGTTCTCTGTCAGTACTTGAGAGTAGTCTGAATGCACCTCATTATCATTCTGCTATAGGGAGAATGAAACACTCTGGCATGATTGTATTTATGTAAACCAATTACAATTGTCCTGGGTAGTGACAAGCCCAGGGTACAGCGATGATGCCCCCGCAAAATAGCAACAGGACAATTATTCTAGTAGAACATTGGCATGCAGGAAGACGAACATGTCATTAACATTATTCATTCACCCAAAGGACCAAGCAGGCCTGCCTTATTGCACAATGCAAATCATCCACTAAACGAGCCATTGTCAGCTTGTAGGTTGTCGCTGCTTGCTGTTGTTGCTACGCTTAACAAAAGGGATTTTGAAAATGGTAGCAATGGTAACAAATAGTGGAACAGGAGGAGGAGGAAGCTGTGTGAAATGCACACCAGAGGCATCAGGCTTATACATTAAGTCTATATCCAGTAGGTCAGAGTACACAGCACATCATCTAATGTTGATTTTCAGTTGTCTGATTAATGGCCATGTATGAGTGAGAAAATTGTTTAAAATGATGTTCCAGACTCCTTATACTCTGTGAATTGTTTCAGTTATTTTCTTTGCCCCACACTGATGCAAGAACACATTTGGCAGTTATTATCCATCATTATTTAAGTGATGACTGAAGTCCATGGCATAACCATTCTCAGTTTTAAGTCAAGTACCGCATGTAAAATATAGATTCTCTAGTTGTAGAAAAACATTGCTATGAAATACAGTGATTCAATTAATCTATGTGTCCTTTTGTAATTGAGGCTCCTAATTAACTTCTCTCTGTTTCCTATACCAGACCTTCAATTAGGGATAGGACCTATCCTATTCTAGACTATTGATCTGTATTTTACAAATTAAAAAACAAAAACAAAAAAAACACCTTTCTGAAATGTTTATATCAAACTGGTATTCTACACATTTCTATGAATGAACCCATATGACCACTATTACAGTTTATTCCTATCTGGATAAATGATGATAATGATGAAATATGTGTTGACAAAGGTGTTAAGAAAATATTAGATCTTCATTCAGACTGAATTTATCTTTGACTGGACTTATTATGAATAGAATCCCAAGAAAACTATTAAAAAACAAACAAACAAACAAAAAACAACTCGCAACTATGGTGCTTCATAACATCGGAGTACAACACAATATCACACATACCTCCATTTTGAATTAGTAAAAAAAACAGTACAGTAAAATGCTGATAATAGGGGTCATACATTAAAATTCTATTATTTATTGATGGTAAAACTCAACTGAACATGAAATAAATTAAAGACATGTCTGTCAAAGAAAACAGACATACACAAAAATCTTGATATAGCAGATT